ATTTTTCTAATCAATTCTCAGTATTTCATTTAAATATTCGTAGTATTACTAAAAACTTCGACGAACTAAAAATCCTACTAGATAATCTTAACTTTAACTTTAGCTTAATTTGTTTAACGGAAAGCTGGATTTTAGATACAACATTTAATCAAAATTCTAAATTTATATTGCCCAACTACAAAGCCATTAGTTTTGAACGTAAGTCTTCAAAAACAGGCGGTGGTATATGTGTCTATGTGCTTGATGAATTTACTTATCAAATTAGATATGACCTGTCGTTCTCTGAGCCGGATTTTGAATCTTTCACTTTAGAAATCTACAATAAGTCAACTAAAAATATTATTGTGACAACTACATACCGACCACCAAACGGATGTTTAAATAACTTTCAAAATCACTTAAGTGACTATTTTGAAACAGCATGCAAAAAAAATAAAGACCACTCATTTTTATTTCTTGGAGATTATAACGTCGACTATTTAAAATATGGTGAAAATAATAAAGTACAACAATTTTACGATAGCTTTAATGAGTTTGGAATGATGCCTATAATAAATAAATCAACAAGAATAACACAACACTCTTGTTCTGCAATCGACAATATTTTCACAAATACACTCTTCCATTCCACATTTAAATCAGGCATCATCAGAAGTGACATAACCGACCATTTTCCAGTCTTTGCAATTTTCAAAAAACCAAAAGATTTACAAAAAAAGGACTGGTACTTCAAAAAAAGAATCTTTACAACCCGAGCAAAAAATATGTTTAAACTAGAGCTATCAACTGTAAATTGGAACTTTGTTTTTCTTGAAACATGTGCTAATAACAGCTACAACCTTTTCTTAGATAAATTTCTCAATTTGTACGATAAGCATTTTCCTAATAAAATAATCCGTATTAAAACTAAAGGTCTTCTTAATCCTTGGTTCACTAAAAGCCTCTTAAAGTCTTCGAAGCGAAAACAAAAGCTATATATACGCTTTATTAATTCAAAGAAAGAACGTGATAAGCATAATTACTTAGAGCACAAACGTCTATATGAAAGAACTAAAAAAATTGCCAGAACTACATACTTCAAAAACAAGCTGTTAGAACTAAAAGGTAACTGCAAAAAAACGTGGGATGCTATTAAAGAGATTCTTGGAAAACAAAAAATACACAACAAAGCCTTACCAAGCGTGATTACTGTAGACGGCACACAGATCTCTGATGTAAAATCGGTGGCAATAAAATTTAATGAGTTTTTCGTAAATATTGGTCCAAACTTAGCCAGCAAAATTAAACACACTCCTGCAGATTTCTTGAGCTATCTATCAAAGTCGGATAAAAGCTTAGCATTTAAAAAACTCACTAGTGAAGAACTTGATGATTCAATTAAAAAATTAAATAAAAATAAAGCAACAGGCTATGATGCTATTTCAGCAAGCATAATCAAAGACTGCTACGAACTTATTAAAGATGTTTTATTAGATATCTTTAACAAATCGCTTAAAACAGGTGTTTTTCCAGATAAAATGAAAGTTGCAATTATTACACCCATTTTTAAATCAGGAGATGAAAGTCTGGTTATAAATTATCGACCTATATCGGTATTACCTGTATTTTCAAAAATCCTCGAACGTATCATGTATAATAGGATATTTGCATTTTTGTATGACAACAATCTTCTTTATTGGAACCAATATGGTTTTCGATCAAATTACTCAACGGAACATGCACTTATGCAACTTGTTGAAGTTATCAGTGAAGCATCTTCTCATAACAAGTTCACCTTAGGTATATTCCTAGACTTGTCAAAAGCATTTGACACCGTTAATCATCAGATTTTATTAGAAAAACTAAAATATTATGGAATAAGCCACGAATACCATAAATGGTTTACCAGTTACTTAACTGATCGAAAGCAGTTTATTTCTCTTAATGATGGCTTTCAGACAAACAAACTTAAAATATTATGTGGGGTTCCACAAGGCTCCATCTTAGGTCCGTTGCTATTCTTAATCTATGTCAACGATCTATATAAAGCATCAAATACTATGTCTACTATTATGTTTGCAGACGACACCACTTTATTCTATTCTCACAGTAATATTATCTCTCTATTTCAAGTAGCAAATAATGAACTAGAACAAATATCAAACTGGCTTTTCGCTAACAGCTTATCTTTAAACACTGATAAAACTAAGTTTTCCTTATTCCATTCTAAACGAAAGTTTCAATCTATTCCAAAATCCTTACCAATGCTATATATAAATAACATCAATATTGAGCGCTCATTCACAAATAAATTACTTGGTATTTTAATAGACGAAAACTTATCCTGGAGAGCTCATATAAATCATATTAGCAATAAAATCTCAAGAAGTATTGGCATCTTATATAAAACCAGACGAATCTTAGACAAATCTACACTAACTCAACTATATTTTGCATTCATAAATAGTTATTTATCTTATGGCAATATTGTTTGGGGTAGTACAAATAAATCTAAACTCGA